TAAAGGCTAATCGTCTATGGGAATTCAGTATTGCGACGCAAAAAACTGTGGATGGTCCTTCTGGTAAAGATTGGCGTGGTGGTCGAGTGCTTCTGCCAACATTATTCTTCCCGGCACAGGTGCTGCCAAGGCTGTAGGCAAAGTCATCCCTGACCTCAATGGAAAGGTATGTCGGTTTCCAGGTAACAGCTCGACGGTATGCTGATCGAGACCTTGTTGAACAGCTCACTGGAATGGCTTTCCGAGTTCCTACTGCCGATGTATCGGTCGTCGACTTGACTGTCCGTCTTGAGAAAGGTGCCACCTATGATGAAATCAAGGCCACCATCAAGGCTGCTTCTGAAGGCTCCCTCAAAGGTATCCTTGGCTACACCGACGAGGACTTGGTCTCGACTGACTTCATCGGAGACAGTCACTCGAGCATTTTCGATGCCAAGGCTGGTATAAGTCTAAACAACAACTTCGTCAAATTGGTCAGTTGGTATGACAATGAATGGGGTTACTCCCGACGAGTAGTTGATTTGGTGGTTGAGATGGCTAAGCGAGAGTGAGTAGATCTTTTCAACTTGATCACTTGTAGCGTTGAGAAATCACTTCCAGCTTTACTGATCTCCGCCCATATGTAGTGCTTAGTGCTAAAGCCAAATTATAGAAAATTGGATGCTGAAGAAACTCACAGAATCTATATTCCTCTTTGACTGGACTAAAATGAACCTTACTGGCTTGAGATCTACTTAGTTCCGTGACCATGTAAAGCGCTCTCCTCAGATCATAGATGACTTGTCATTCTTACAAGTATTGTCATGACCGTCCGATCAGAAATGTATGTAACGCCTGTTTTCATTCTCAGGTGGAGAGGCATGGTGCCTTGAATTAAAGCTGGATCAACTCGCCTGGCAAGTCAGTTTCATCTTGAGCCGGAGTCATTTGTCTCACTGTTCAGCTGTGAGATGATGCAGCCAACAGGAAGGTCGTTTGGACGACGGCTTGTTGATCGAATGGAATTTCAAAGCCATGGCTGATTCAATCTTGTTCATGTTCACTTGGAACAACTTGGTGTGCAATTTGCCTCAAAGGGGCCTGGCCAGAACTCGATTGTCTTTTAACAGCAGACTGCAGAAATATGGTGGATTTGTATTATGTATTGACATTTGCCTCCTGCTACCATATTGAGAGTAAAAGGAGATTAACGGAATCCGAGAGCCTCACGGGGGTGGAGAGCGGTGAGCTTGCTACGCATGTAACGCAGTGACAGGTGTCCAGTACAATTTCCCTCTTAAGAGCATCCACTATGTTGAGGGTGTTTTATCGTAAATTTTGCGGTCCTGATTGCAAAATTTAATCATGCGTGTTGTAGCTAAGTTGTTAACCGCATGAAATCCACTATGGGATGATGTAACGTAGGATTTAACTACGATAATCTGTTCTTAGAACACTATACACGCTATGGCAAAGTCGAGACTCGAATTAAAGTATCTTACCACACCTCACCCAGCCTATGCTGATGACTACCTTGGTGACCAGAAAGAACCAAATTGATGCCTTCAGGTTTTGACAATCAGCAAAGAGCTTTCTCACCTCTTGTTTGATCTTGGTGACATCGATCGCGCGAGATGACTTCTTTTGAACAAAGATGCTTTTTTTAGCAAATCCGGAGTAAACAGCTACTATCAACAAGCTGAGGGTTCGAGGGAAGAGGGAAGGTTTTGAGTGAAGGTGGTGAGTGCAGAGCTGGATGGGAGATAGATCATTGGATGGCTGTTGACCGTTTGGATGCGCCAAAAGTTTACGATAAATCAAGTCGTAGGCTTTCGTAGATTTGAACAAGCGGACTGCAAGACTTGACGCGGTTGTACGGACCGCATGTCTAAAACAGGTCCATAGTGGACCTGTCTGGATTTTAGCGTTACGGTAACACTAAATCGTGTCGTTAACGCACCCATAGTGGATGCTCTAACAAAGTCCCTCGCGCTGAGAGTGTTCGAAGCTCCGACCAGCTCGGTAGCCTGTGTTGTAGACTCACGTGACTTACACGACTGCGGCACAGACATCACGTGCTGCAGTCAACAAAACCCAGCTCCGCTGAGCTCCGAGATTCCACATCATTGTGGAAATTCTATCTATTTCTTTATGCTTACAGTTGTTCTCATTCACTATAGGTTATGAGCCCGCGCTCTACGATCTTCACGAATCGACGACCTGAATGCAGACAAGGAGTCGTGATTATTCGAAGAATCCACAATCTCCGCCAAAGAGAAAGCGAAAACAGAAGAAGCAAATCTCTGACCCGGAGTCTACCCCACAATCATCATCATCCCACAATCTTATATTAAACTACAATTTATCCACCTTACCTCCGCTACCTGATTCGCCAGCACATTCCTCCCCTGAGGCATTATGCCCTGTATCACCGCATACACCGGATGCTCCAATCTCCCCACTTGTTCCACGTACCCCGGAATTTCTAGTTCTATCCATCTTATTCAAACCTGAGTCTGAATTTCCTGACCTTTCAACTTTACCACCTCTTCCCGATTCTCCTACGTTCCCTGATTCTCCTACGTCCGACAAGCCTTCTACGTCCGAATTGGAGATTCATACTGAATTATCCCGATTAACACTATGAGATACGATTCCTGTATCAAACTATACGCTTACTAGACCAATTGCTGAATACCCTACGCTATCTATTGAACCTTTCTACTCCTCTTGCAAAACGTACAACCCGTCTCCTGTAATTTTTCCTAATTGTTACTTTTATACGATGTCGACTAAGCAAAAAACCTCAAACGAGCAATCGAACACGCCAGTTTTTACTCTTACCGCCGCAGATATCACCAAAGCAAAAGAGAACTTAGGTGATGAGACTCAATACAAACACTTACTGGAAAACGGATCGAACTTCATCGAATGGAAGAAGAACACCACCAGAGCTCTGAAGGCCTTGATAGGCATCAAAAACTACTGGGATAACCCCTTACCGGTCTCGAACTACATCGAACGTAAACGAGATGGTCTTGCGATGAGTGTCATCAACAAGACAATTCATCAGACTCTTAAGGTCGTTACGGATGATGCCAATACCGCGAACAACGCCATGGACTCTCTTCAGAATCACTTTAGAAAGGGAGGCCGTACTGCACAATTTTCTCTATTTGACAAGCTTATTCATCTGCGTCTCAATCTGAATGAATCGGAAATGATCACTCATATGTCAAACATTGACGCAATCATCTCGGAAATTGAGTCAACTGGATTCACTTGGACATCGGATTCAGTAAAAGGTTTATTCTATCAAATTCACATGCCTGCAGAAATGACAAAGGAAATCAACAAAGAGCTGGATAATAAGTATGATAAGAAATCACCTAATTTTAAACTTAAAGATGTGAAGGCTGCAATCCAAATCTACTTAGCCCGAGAGAAGACAGCTTCTGAAACTATCACAATCAGTAATTTGAGTACTCAAGTTGAAACTATGTCTGTCAACGCTTAACCTTGTCAATATACTCCCGCTAGACAATTTACTCCTAATCGTCAATATACGCCTGCACAATCTACTCAATCGACAGTCTCCAGCCAGTGATTCATGCCTTATTGGAAACCTCAGAAAATCAATCCTATGAGATGGAAGCAAGGACCAGAGCCTTGGACAAAGCACGACAAAGAACGACAACAATCGCAAGACTCCCCTATGTCAACGCCCGCATCTGCTGTCGGAGGAGTGAAGGCTGAGATTATACAATGCTTCTTTTGCCGTAACTTCGGACACACCTACAGCTTAGGAGGGTGTGTGGCATATGATGGCAACAGTGATTGGCTTCGTGCTCATTGGCGTGATTGGCGTAAACTCAAAAACGGAAAATTTTACAGCCTCAATGCATTATTTCCTCACAAGTACTCTCTTCCTGTAAACCAAGCTCACAGACCTAATCAACCGAATGCGAGCACGGTTGAAATATCCAACAAATCAACTCACTTTGTCAAGGCGTCAGCTCTTAACTGGAGCTCTGATGGTTTTGGTGTAGCTGGCGAGGAGGATGAAGTCCCGACGGAGTACCTTTTCGATGGTGGTGCTACAGATGCTGTAAGCAACGATAGAAATATCCTGTTGAATTATCAGCCTCTGTCCAGCCCCATTCCTATCAGAACTGCTACTAATGATTCGAATGCGGTTATAGTAGGAAAAGGTCAAATCGAAATTCAGTCCAAAGATGGCAGTTTCGCACTCATCAGCAATGTTTATTACTGCCCAAAGGCAACGACAACTATTATTTCACCTGGTGCTTTGTTGGCAAGTGGAGCAAAAATCTCTATGGAAAAGAATCATGACTATAACATCAAATTAAAAAATGGAAAGACCATATATGCAGTACATAAAAACAGAAGATGGTTCATAAAAGCACGGAAAAGAAATCAAACATCTTGTACTATTTTCTCCAAACCCTCTCATCATGTGTGCGCCTTGAAATCAAGTAATCAGTTATCCAAGCTTTGGCATGCACGTTTAGGCCACGTATCAATGAAAAGAATTAAAAAATTATTCAAGAATTCTGCTGAGTATGGACTCCCTGAACTTAAACATTCAGATGTGACATGTGAGGACTGTCTTAAGTGTGAGAGCTACAGAAGAAGAACCCTGGGTAGCACTAACCGTGAGCCGCGAGTGCTTGAGGTACTGGTAACTGATGTGGCTGGTCCTTTCACTCCGTGTTTGACTGGGGAGCAATTAATGGTAACCTTCAGAGATGTTGCGTCTACGTATTTGGAAATTTGTATCATCAAACATAAGTCTGAAGTCCATCAACGCCTGATTCACGTCATCAAGAAGTGGGAGAGGGAGACTGGCCTCAAGATCAAAACTGTCCAATCAGACCAAGGAGGTGAGTACATCAGCTCAAGCCTCGACAAATGGTTGAAGGAGGCTGGGATTACGCACGAATTCTCAAATCCATACAAACCTGAACAAAACGGGAATGCCGAACGATTGAACAGAACACTTGGGGAGATGGCGAGAACCTTATTGGCATCAAGCAAACTCTCCAATAATTTCTGGAATTTCGCCTACCTGACCGCGGCTTACATTCCCAATAGGCTGCCTAACTCAATAACCAACAATACTACCCGTATGAGTTATTCTTCAAAAGAAAACCTCAATTAGACCTGCTGAGATCCTTTGGAAGTATTGCTTATGTTCACATTCATCAAGGACAGCGTCCTCCTGGAAAGCTGGAGGATCAAGCACGAAAATGTGTCATGATTGGCTACGTGAAAGGAGGAAAAGGCTGGATGTTTTATGACGAAAAGTTGAAAACAGTCTTTCCGTCAGCAATCGCACAATTCCCTTATGAAAAAGAGTCATCGAGTCAAGAGGAGAACAATTCTTCAGATTCACTTAACCAGAATCAACCTCAACATGGAAAAGGAAGCTTAGCGCATATCATCAATGCACTCAAGATTGGGGACTTTCGAGAAGAAATGAAGATTGATAAACAAGATGTTGCTGCAAGTCATGCACTGAGTGGAAGCGATTATCTCAAGATTTTGAATCCGCCGAGGTCATTTGCGGAAGCTATGCGGTCGGCTCAATCAATGAGCTGGAAAGAAGCGTGTGATGCGGAAATGGAGATGATGAAGAAGATGACAGTTTGGAAGGTTGTGGATAAACCAGCTGATTTAGTACCAATTGATTTGAAATGGGTCTTTACTTATAAGAAAGTTGATGAAGATGGTAATCCGATAAAATTCAAGGCAAGACTAGTTGCGAAAGGATATCGACAACAAGAAGGTGTTGATTACACAGAGACCTTCGCTCCCACGGCGACGTTTCCAGGGCTGAGGATCATGCTCACTGTAGCAGCGTACAAAGGCTGGCCGGTTCACTCATTTGATATAACGTCAGCTTATCTTCACAGCGATATAGACACGTTAATTTACTTCTCAATTCCTACCGGGTATATGGTTGAAGCTCGAAAGAAAAATCAAGTCTTGGAAGCCATCAAGGCATTATATGGCACAAAACAAGGTGCTTGTTGCTGGTGGAAGCACATCGACACCATTCTAACATCGATGGGTTTCAAATGCAGCCAGTACAATCAGTCTCTGTACATCTACAGACAAGGAAGTGACGTGTACATCATTTGGTTACATAGTGATGACGGTGCAGTGACTGGTAGTTCTGACGACTTACTCAATGAAATTCACACTAAACTTGCTGAAAAATTACTTATTAAATGGGAGAAAGGATTGGACCAAATCATTGGTGTGGACGTCAAGAGACATCAAGACAGAAGTTTCAGCTTATTGCAACCTGGCCTGACTAAGAAGATCATTCAATCCTTCTTACCCGACGAGCGCACCGCCAAGACACCTATGAATTCACAAAAATTACCTATGTCACCTGCCGAAGATGAAGAGAAAGTTGACCCCGAGAAATACCTGTCTGCGATAGGGAGCCTGAATTACCTATCCGTGGCTACTAGACCTGACATCACCTACACGATCAACTTTTTAGCCAGATTCTCATCAGACCCATGGAAACAGCATTGGAACGCGGTTGAACACGTCATCAGATACTTGAACACCAATGGTACTCATCAGTTACTTATCAAGCCACTCAAGTCAAGAGTTGATACGCCTGTACACACATTTGTAGACGCTAACTGGGGAGGGGAAGGGGCTAGATCGTCACACGGTTTCATCACGTACTACCTGAACTGTCCGATTGCCTGGACGTCAAAACGACAAACCTGTGTTGCAACTTCCACCTGTCACACCCAGTACATGGCGATGGGTACAGCTTGTAGAGACGCTGTATGGCTTAGGAATTTAATCGAAGATATCACTGGTGAAGGCAATGTCATCAATATGCATTGTGATAACACTTCTGCCATTCATGTAGCTAGTGATAATTCCTCCAACAAGCGTACTCAACACACAGATAGAGAATATTACTACATAAATGAACAAGTTTACAAAGGACGCGTATTTTTGCATTGGGTCGACACAAGATCACAACGTGCAGACATCTTAACTAAACCTCTTGGTCCACTTTTACATGACAACGCGCTGAAATCCTTAGGACTCTTAACAAATTAATCCGACAATCATTCATTCATCTTGAAGATTAATTGAGTCAAACTTTCATTTATGTTTAGAAATATTGCTCGCAGACACTGGCCCTGCTTGAACTAATTCCGTAGCAAAGTATATCTAATTCCAGAACATCTGGGTGAAAAGAATGCTGAACTCGGGGGAACAAATTCCAGATAACAGTTGTTTTTTTCTTTTTATGTTAATGGTTTTTTGGAAGTTTTTTTGGACTGGTTGATACATTCATTTGAAGGAGTTTCTTATTTATGTTTCTTGGAGGAGTTTTTTGTTTTTTGTTTTTTTTTGTTTTTGTGTTTGATTGGAGGAGTTTTTTCATGTTTTTTCAGTTTTTTTTGTTTTCTCATTTTGGACCCGGATGTCTGTGACTTGTCGTGGGGGGGGTGTTGTAGACTCACGTGACTTACACAACTGCGGCACAGACATCACGTGCTGCAGTCAACAAAACCCAGCTCCGCTGAGCTCCGAGATTCCACATCATTGTGGAATCTTATCTATTTCTTTATGATTACAGTTGTTCTCATTCACTATAGGTACTTTTATACATCATTGTGGAATCTTATCTATTTCTTTATGCTTACAGTTGTTCTCATTCACTATAGCCTGAAGAGCCCCGAGGCTCCCCACTTTCTCATCACTATCAACGCAGTTGTATACACGCCGGGCAAATTGGGGTCATGAACTGTATACAGGTTGCATGGTCCTGAGTGCATGTCAGGACCTGGTGCACCTGTCAGCCATACAGGACATGTCTTCATGTCAATGCGCTGTATAGATTAGGGCTGTGACCCGGCCCTGAAGTTTCAGGGCCGGCCCCGGGGCTTCGCCCGACCCTGAGTAGACCCGAAGGCCTCCTGAAAGTGCTCAGGGCCAACCAGGGCACGCCCTGACCTTATTATAGGTGCTAAAACCAGCCAATACAGTGATTATTTTGTTTTTTATTGCAAGTTGATGTGTCTGTGATGGTTTGTAGAAGCTATATGAGCCCACATCAAAATCAAAAAGAGCTGCAGGAGGAATTTTAGAAAGACAGATTTTGTCAACACAGCAAAAGTACAGCGGGCCTTGAGCGGCCCGGCCCCGCCCGAGGCGCCTGCAGGGCTTTTGTCACCTCAATCACGTGTGTCAGGGCACGTACCGTGTGCCTCTGGAAAGACGTCGGGCAGACTCAGCCGGCCGGGGCCGGGGCCGGGTCACAGCCCTAGTATAGATCATACCATCAACACACATACAGATGCACCCTGAGCACCACATGTTGTGACTTAGCCCTAAATCAAGGCTGGTGAACATATGTACCCTAGGTATCAAAAAGCTTGCACTTCACCTTTGTCAAATACTACCCAACCCTTAATCAAATAATCTTGAGGTGCTCATACATACCGGAAGAGTACATCCAGGGTCATATTCTCTCTCCTCAAAAGGACTAAATACTTACATACACATAACTTGCATAAGTATGCATATCAAAGGATCAAACAAACTAGGGCGCAGACCCTTTTACTCCTGCGTACCCTTGATTACCCCAAGCTACCCCAGGTGATGCATTGAGAGCTTTTAAATACCGGCCATTTGTAACTCTATTTCGGACCATCCCTTTATCCCCCACTACTACATACAATCCAGCTTTATTTCAAAGTTCATTGAACCTTCTTTGTCCCCTTAAAATTCTTTTACATACAACCCTACATATTTGGTTCATATTCTTCATACACCATGAATCCAGAGTTTAATTGTGCATTAGCCTGTGCTCCAAGCTTCCCAGACAACTCACATGCTTCAGCCCACACTTGTCAATTCCAGAATACCCCTTCCGCTAATCCCGACCCAAACAACATCAACTCCCCCAATTGTCTACAAGCTGTTGAAGAGGAGAATCGGAAATTGAAGGAAGAGATTGAGTCTTTGAAAGGTCTCTTCCACAACATTGCAATCAAAAACTCCAACCAAACTAACACACCAAGCAAGACACGCCGACCTCGAAAATCCATAACTCCTCAGAAGTTGAAAAATAAGACCTCTCATACTCATGACCTTGATAAAGTAGATCCCGATCATATCAGTAAGAAGTTACTTGTAAGTTATGAACTCGTATATTTTGATGCTCCTTATGATCCTGTGTACTGATACCAACCAAATTTACTACAGGCCAGTTGCTATGATCTGGCTTGGTGTTTGATGAACTGCGAAACTGGTACTTCTCCAGTTCCTGATGCTCCATCTGTCCTTGAGCAAAGAAAACTCAAAGGCTTCTTTGACATGTTGCCAAACCCCCCTAGTGACACTGCCGGACTACGGATTCAGCAACGCGAACTTGCTTCCATCACAAGCAACTCAAAGATTGTTCAAGATTACATCGACTTTGTTCATGGTACCATGCGACGCTGGGGCATCACTTGGTTTACAATGGATTGGGAGAGGCACTATGATGACCAATTCAATCAAAGAATGTGTCAGTTTTTCATCAAAGTATGGAAATGGGGTCTTGCGTTTGGCTGATTTGGCCCCCTGGTTCGAAACGAAGCTTCCAAATTGGATATGGACGAGCTGTTATTCATGGCTATCTACTGGCGACACACAAAGAGTCTGCGTCGATACTCACCATGTCCGTGTGGTGTTCGCTTGTCAACAAGCGCACATGAGTCGCCTTTGTGCCTCAAAGGCATTCCGTGTGCGCTCGTTGTCGGGCGACTGCCACAAGGACACGGTGACTATAAGCGCGGGAAAAAGGGTGAAGAGATTTTGACAGGGGATCAAGCCAAGAACACTCAAAGACAATCTCTCAAGCGAGTAAGTTGTTTCTGGAACTTTACCTTCTCAAACATACAACACACTGACAAATCCTGCTTCAGAAATCTGTTGTTCGACAGCTCTACCTTCAAAACCAGGGTGTCCATATAAGTTTCATCGAACCATTCAACAACAAGGATGCTAACTCTGACAATGAACTTGTCATGCACAACGATTCACCGTTAGCCTTGGCCAAAGTCCCTGCTTGGCGTTCCCAAAAGGCGACAGATTTCATTGACTGGATTGAGGCCAGACGTAGAGCTCAGTGGGTCTCAACTACCACCCTTCAACAGAAAAAGAAGTACGGAGTAAAAGCAACCCTCAGACCACACCAAAGATCTCAGCCACCCATCATCAATGAAAAAGCACGTATACCAATTGGTCTACCAGAAGATTGGTATTCTGGCGACTTTGTATCCTCACTTAGCTATGCTGATAAGAAAGCTCTGGAGATCCGACCTGCAATATTCACAATAGAGACCAGGCGCGGAAATCCCGGGTCTTGTTATCACTAGAACATTGTTAGGGTGCTCGTTTTTCTTGGTTTTTCACACTCACGTCTCAAACGTGGCTTATTTCACTACAAAAAGAATAATGTTTTCTGGGCAGAAAACACAAATATTGATATACAAAAATATTGGGCGGTCAGGAGGAGGGCAAAAAATACAATAAAAATGGCTGTTGTTCCTGGTGTTGAGAGCTTCAATCTGAGTATTGTATCGTATTCTCAGAGTGAATATTGTTGAACGTACTAACAAAAAACCCCGTATTCATCAGATGTACACCTGTAACAGATGCTCAAATTTGGTTCCTCAGATTGGGGAGGACAATTTGACATATAC